CCCTGTGGGTGCGGGCTCCCGGGACTCCGGCTCCCGCTGTGAGAGCTGAACTAGGCGTCAGCCTGGGAGCCCGAGAGTCAGGTGCGGCCGGCCCGGCCCCGCCCGCCGTGAGCACCGCCCCTTTAACCCTATCCTCGCTGCAGGCAATCAGCCTTCGCGGGTTCCCCAGCAGCCAAGGCTGCTTCGCACTACGGGAGAATGAGATTGGGGTCTACGAGAGGGCTCAGCCACCGGCAGCCAGAATGCCCGCGCTCCTTGGCTGTGCGCCTCCGCGCCCTCTGTTCTGGGTGCTTCAGCTTCCCGGAGTGGACCACTCCCCGACCCACCGGCCACTGTGACCCCCGCGCCTCTCTGGACATAAAGCTTTTGTCTCCAGCTCCAGTACTAGTACTGGGAAGGATCTGGGTAATCTGGGCGTGCGAGAGAAAGTGACGTCCTTTTATGGCAGTGGTAGCAAGGTTCACTCTAAATATAGGAACACAGGAGATGGGTGAGCGTCACCTCGCCTGCCATACAGGGGTCTGCAGAGCTAAGGTGGGGAAGAAATCAAACATTACATAGAAAGCTGCTGGCATTGTGCAAAGGGGGGCCATCAGAAGATGGGAGGTGATGTTGGCCCTATGGTTTCTTTGTTCCACGTGCACCTAAAACTCATGCACGTGTGTGCACACGCAGATGTCTGCACAGACACTCGCGCATTTATTTTTCAACCCATGTTCACCTCCTATGTCAGGTCTCTCCCGGATCCTGAGAGACAGCAGGGAATGAGTTAAAGAAGGCCTTGGTGGGTCCCCTTTCTATGGGAGTGACAAGCCATAAACCAGGGAGGAAAAATAATTTCAGATGCTGACAAATGCTGGGAGTAACATAACAGAGGGATGTGACTGCAAGTGACCAGATTTGTAGATAGGTTGTCAAGGAAGATTATCCAGGAGGCAACGTGTGCAGACACTTGAAACCTGAGTTGGGGCCATCCTTGAGAAGGTCTTGGGGAGCTTAGTCAGTATGAGGCTGCAGGAAGCCGTAGAGCTCCAGGAACAGCAAACAGGTCCCTGGTGAGGCTGGAGCAGGGGGAGGGGGAGGTTGGCCACTGTATGTGCAGGGCCCAGGTCACACATGGCCACATAGTGCATTAGTGTCCTGTGTCATTACTACAAACTTGGTGGCTTAGAATTAACAGAAGTGTATTCACAGTTCAGGGGACCAGCTATTTGCAATCAGTCCCACAGAGCCCAAATCAGGGTGCCCTCGGGAGGCCCTAGGGGAGAATCCTCCAGCTTCTGTTAGTGGCTGTTGGCTTTCTCACCAACCCTGTCTCCAAGGTCATATTGCCCTTTTGCTTCTGTATGTGTAAAATCTGTGTGGATAAGCCTATTTTACAAGGTCTTCGTGGTCAGATTAGGGTCATCCAGAGTGGTCCCCTAATTTATCCACTTTATTTCATCTGCAAAGACTCTTTCTTTATAAGGTAAAACGTGAAAGTTCCAAGGATCAGGATATGGAATGTCTTTAGGAGGTCATTACTCAGCCTACCACAACGATGGAGTGGTTGACATTTATTTTAAGACCTGGAGGGTTTGAAGCAGGTGACAAGATCTGGGGACTGTGGAAATATCTCTTGTGGGTGCTGACTTAATCCTTTCCCCCTAAATGGATGTTTGGCCCTGCCTCCCCAGTGCACCTGAGGTCCTTCTCTGCCCTTCCCTACTTTACCTGCTGCACATGCTCTAGAAATGAGAAGTACTTTCTGGAAGTTACAAAAGTGTTACCCAGAGACCAGCTCTTCTGTGGACCAGTCCCAGAAGAAGAAAGCTAGGGTGAGTCCTTCATTTTATTATGACACAGAAAACAATGAGGTGATTGTTTCTGAAGCAGATTCTAAAACAGTAGGATGTTTTTGTTTTGCTTTTGGTTTGGATTTTGTTTTTTTGGTTCATCCCACTTTCATTCCTTTCAAATGGCAGCAAGCAAGATTGAATCGCTGCAGTTTTTAATACTCTGACATTTTCTTCAAACCAACTTCATTCGCCCCCATCAGAAGAAGTAGGATGGAATCTGTCCTGGACTGGAAGCAGCTGCCCACCCAATCTCCACTGGCACCACAAGGGCCTTGAATTCCTATGATGGGTGACAGAGACAGAGTCATACTGGGGAGGAGGAGTCAGCCTGCCAACACCAAGCCTCATGTTCCTTCCCCAGGGTCTGAGGAGACTCTCTCCCCCCAGGGCACCTGTTGCACATTTGCAAAGGGTGCTCTGTGTTCAAAGCCCTCATGTGCCCTGGGCCAGGGCATGCTGGAGAGGCAGTGGGGATTCCAGCACTGAGCTGATATTTAGTGGGTGGCACAGGTGCAGCAGGACCTGGGGACAGACCTATAAGCCATGTGATGAGCGAAACGTCAGTGTGAGGCAGGAAACAGAGAAATAGACCACCATCAACTGTGATGTTCATGTTATCCCAGAAAAAGAGCAGGATGCCAAAGGAGAGGGTAATCCTGAGAATTGCAGAGAATCACCAGGATACCCTGGTCAAGTAAAGTCTAAATACTTAAGCAGGCACCTATAGGATAAATAAAAATCAGACAGAAGAGCATCCTAGGCAGAGAAAACTGCCATATATGCAAAGGCCTTGAGATGCAAAAGAGTGAGGTCTTCGAGAAAAGACAGAAGACTCTGGGGAAGACAGAGAGATGAGGTTCAAGGAGGAGCCAAAAGCCAGATCACCTGGTCTTAACCTCTGGTGAAGGAGTTTTATTATTAAATAAATAAAGTAAGTAAGAGCCTGAGAGGGAGAAGAAAGAAAAAAAAAAGAGGCCACTGAAAAATATTTTATTATATTTGATTTATAATTTTAAGAAAAAATTTTTTAAAAAGAAAGAAATTCACACAAAGGTTCCTGTGGGCTTCATCTTAATGGCTTCCAGAAGCAAACTCTGCAAAGGTAGTGGTTATAATCATCAAATACTGGCTGAGTACTTTCCAGATTACCCCATGCCCAATGCTGCAGGGCTGGTTAGTTCTGATTTCTTCATTTTTGATTGAATGACTCATTCATTGCTGATTTTTTTCATTAGTTGATTTCATTGCACATCACACACACGCACCTCTCAAAACCTGTACCTTGCTCTGTAGTGAATCATGTTTAAGTGCTTGGCATAGCCAAGACTAGCCTATGTTTTCTTTTTCTTTCTGCTTTTTTTTTTTTAAGAAAGCATCTCTCTATGTAGTCTCTCTATGTAGTATATAGAGAGACCTTATCTCAAATATGCAGGGCATAAGCAAAAAGTTAAGCTCACTTACTCTTAATGTTGGTGACAACTAAAATGGACTTTTAGGACAATTTGATGGTATCTCTAAAAAATAATTAAAAATGAACATAACTTATGTATTTATTTATTTTTGAGACAGGGTCTCACTATGTCGTCGAGACTGACCTGGAACTCACTATGTAGCCCAGGCTGGTCTCGAACTCACAGCTATCCTCCTGCCTCAGCATCCCAAGTGCTGGGATTACAGGCATGCACCACCATGCCTGGCTAAAAATGAACATAACTTTCAATGTTGCTCTGCTTTGAAGATTATATCCAACAGAAAATCGCACTTATCTGTGCAAAGCTGTGTAAATAAGAATTTTTACATAAATTGGACATAGTAGTACATGTCTATAATCCTAGCACCCTGGGAGGCTGAGGCAGTAAGATCACAAATTTGAGCTCAGCCAGGATAATTTAGTGACTTAGCAAGACCCTGAATCTAAATAAACAAATAATGAATGGGCTGGGGATGTAGCTTGGTTCAAAGGCCCTGATTTCAATCCCCAACATCACACACAGACACACACACATATCCCCAAAAATGTTTACCCAAACCAGCATGCTAATGCACACCTGTAATCTCAACTATTAGGGAGGCTGAGGCAGGAGGATCCCAAGTTTGAGACCAGTCAGGCCAATTTAACAGACTTATCTCAAAATGTAATAAATGGGCTGGGGATGTACCTCACTGGCAGAATGCTTGCCAACATGTGTGAGGCCCTCAGTCCCATCCCCACTACCACTGCAAAAAGGAAAAATAGTGCTTACATGATATTACCTAGGATGAGGAATTACTGGAAACCATGATGGAATGGATAAAGCAGTATGCAAGAGCCCTCTATGGACCATGTAAGAAAGGAGACTAGTGTCTATATACTGTTAGGGAGGTATTTCTAAGAAATGTTAAATTAAAGGGTCAAATTTTAATATATACAGTATAATTCCATTTTTGATAGAAACAAATTAAAAAATGCACAGAACACATAAAGTGTCTTTCTACATACATGTATAACAGTGGGGAGAGAGGTCAGATATAAGGCCGGGCATGGTGGTGCTGTGAGCCCAGCATTCAGGAGATTGAGACAGGAAGATCTCACAAGTTCCAAGTCAAAAACTGAAGAAAGAATAGGTCCAGGCAAGTGTGAAAAGTAATGAGGTTTTATATTTATTAAAAGTATGAAAAGAAACATGCTCTGCAGAGCCAGTCTGTGTCCATTAAAAGTTAAAAAAAAAAAGGACCAGAATGAGAGGAGGCCACTGTGAAAGAACAAACATAGTGACCAAGAGCTCGGTGATAGCCATCTTTGTATCTTCCACTCCTGGGGCTGACGTCACATCTAGGCCGTCCTATAAGAAACCGCTTGGGTTCTGTGAGAAAATTGAAGCTAGCACTCTGATTTCTTAGGCAGGGCTTTGGAAACTGCTCTGCCCATGTGTCCTGGAACTGTCTGATCAAAAGGTGTTGCCTACTTCCCCAGCCAGTTTAATACGCGCTAACCTCCTCTCTCACTTCTAGAGAATTAGGGAACCTCATGGTCACTTATAAAAGTCCTTGAACTCTGTAAGTGTGTGAGCAGTGTCCATGGCCTTGTGGCCTACTGCATTACCTCTAGCTTTGCTGCCTCTCTGTGCTTCTAAAACATTCCATTCTATGAGCTACTTTTTATTTGGACACACATCCTTTGTCATTTCGAACACCCAGGTTTATGTGATTCTCCTGCCTCAGCTTCCTCAGTAGTGGGACTGCAGATGCTTGCCACCGCCCGTAGCTCTTTGTCACTTT